ACAGCATTTTTGTAGTGCAAAGTGCATGAGAGTGAAAGACAAAAACGACCAGAAAGGTGCTGTGGCACTTGTTATTAATCTAGTTGTGCTGTCCTGCTTTCCTTTTCAAGTATTACCCACCTTCATTCTTCTTTTTCTCCCGCTCTTTCCAGTGTTAAAAGTCTATGTTTTTGAAGTCGCTGGTACAGCGATATCTGTTGTTGCTGTACCTGGTGCACACCAGATGTGGCAGGCAGGGGCAAGTGTGATGTTGTCTCTTGCCAGGGAAAGGAACCTGCAGGGAAGTCCAAACACAGACAACTTCATGATATTATTATTTCATATAGTTACCAGTTTTTTATCAGCAATGCATTGATTATAAAAACATAAATTGCTACATTCAAATAAATATTTTTTAAAGAAAGACAACATTTTGTGTATATATTTTTAAGTCTGACTGCTGTAATGATATCGTTTTAATTCGATCTTTTCAGCCGTTAGGTTAGCTAATCAAGATACATTACAAAACTCTGTAGGCTTAAGTTTCTGTTTAAGGATCTTGTCAGTGTTAATCATCTGTGAGTCACAAAATCCCTCTAAATCCGTTTCTCTTCGCCTCGTAACCTCAGCTGAATGGCAAAGCTTCTGTATCTCTGAATCAGTCTGAGACTGTCCGACAGTGATAAACAGCCCTGATCTGTGAGACAATCGATCGATATCAGTTACACTTATCAGCAGATTCTTTTAAAGCCTTTCTCAGTCATCTCTGGCAATCACCCATGTTTACTCCACGAATCACGATCAGATCAGCTGATTAAAAAGAGATTGCGTTCTTGTTTCTAAATGTGTTTCTTTTTACTAAGTTAAGTGATTGTTCACCCAAAAATGAAAATGTACTCATAAAAGCATAAAAAACATGTGGGGAACCAAACAGTTGTTAGTTTCCATTGACTTTCTGTTTGAATCTTTCCTCTGTTTAGCTCTGTTTGGCTTCTATTTTTTCTTTCAGTTCTTATAACAGTTAGGCCTGGGTTGCCTCAGGTCAGCCAATCAAATCATGATCTCAGTCTATGAAAAATTTCAAAGAGAGTCAGGGTCAGCTTTGACATTATGTTCAAAACATGTTTTAAATAAATCGAAATCATTATTTTTTTCCTGCCTTACTTTGCAAAAAATAATACTTGTTTTAACAGAAGCATTAGGGGAAGGCAGTAAAAGTCTGAATGCATGGAGCTAAAAAGGTACAGCTCACATACACACACACACACACACACACAGCACATACTCATGTGAGAAAAGCACAGACCATTCAGACTGATAATAATTTAATTACCATAACCAAGCTTTCAACAAATTCATAGCATATTGAAGAGGAATTCATCCAGAAATATGATTCCCTTCTAAGCACATTCCTTACAAAATATCTGTTGCATGTATACTCACAGAAAGGTGATGAAATTTATTTTGTTTTTACTATCAAGGATGCCAAGGTAAACCAGTGATTCTGAGGTAGACCTTGTGCCATGGTGGATAATGTATGTTGGCATTTCTGGGGAAGCTGGATAACAGCATTTTTGTAGTGCAAAGTGCATGAGAGTGAAAGACAAAAACGACCAGAAAGGTGCTGTGGCACTTGTTATTAATCTAGTTGTGCTGTCCTGCTTTCCTTTTCAAGTATTACCCACCTTCATTCTTCTTTTTCTCCCGCTCTTTCCAGTGTTAAAAGTCTATGTTTTTGAAGTCGCTGGTACAGCGATATCTGTTGTTGCTGTGCCTGGTGCACACCAGATGTGGCAGGCAGGGGCAAGTGTGATGTTGTCTCTTGCCAGGGAAAGGAACCTGCAGGGAAGTCCAAACACAGACAACTTCATGATATTATTATTTCATATAGTTACCAGTTTTTTATCAGCAATGCACTGATTATAAAAACATAAACTGCTACATTCAAATAAATATTTTTTAAAGAAAGACAACATTTTGTGTATATATTTTTAAGTCTGACTGCTGTAATGATATCGTTTTAATTCGATCTTTTCAGCCGTTAGGTTAGCTAATCAAGATACATTACAAAACTCTGTAGGCTTAAGTTTCTGTTTAAGGATCTTGTCAGTGTTAGTCATCTGTGAGTCACAAAATCCCTCTAAATCCGTTTCTCTTCGCCTCGTAACCTCAGCTGAATGGCAAAGCTTCTGTATCTCTGAATCAGTCTGAGACTGTCCGACAGTGATAAACAGCCCTGATCTGTGAGACAATCGATCGATATCAGTTACACTTATCAGCAGATTCTTTTAAAGCCTTTCTCAGTCATCTCTGGCAATCACCCATGTTTACTCCACGAATCACGATCAGATCAGCTGTTTAAAAAGAGATTGCGTTGTTTCTAAATGTGTTTCTTTTTACTAAGTTAAGTGATTGTTCACCCAAAAATGAAAATGTACTCATAAAAGCATAAAAAACATGTGGGGAACCAAACAGTTGTTAGTTTCCATTGACTTTCTGTTTGAATCTTTCCTCTGTTTAGCTCTATTTCTCCTTCATGGCTTCTATTTTTTCTTTCAGTTCTTATAACAGTTAGGCCTGGGTTGCCTCAGGTCAGCCAATCAAATCACTGCTTTTATATTCCAGAGGGGTTTCTCATGGCTGTGTGTGAGTGTATGTGTGTATCTACTGTATGTACCTTGTGGCTGTAAGGGTGGCATTCGTCTCCTTCCAGCCCCTGTGGTGTGCACATACGCAGGCCTCTGAGCCACAGACTCACAGCACAGCACAGACCCACACCACACTGCACATCTCTGTCACATGCCTGATACACAAACACAACACAACATCAGTCACATACTGGATGGCATTCATTCCCAGTACATACAGATCTTGCTCTGGCTTTGTTAGAAGTCTTTGTTAATTTGTAAGCTAATTTGTACAAATGATAGAGTATTTGCTAAATTAATGTATCCACATTATCCCATGACAAGAGTGAAAATGACTTTTATTTAAACATCCTATCTGGATTTGATTTATAAATCAATTTCAATTATGCTTCTCTCTGTTTTTTTTTTCTATGATTTTCCCCAGAACTATCAAAACCTGTGACAGTCAAACAAGCTCAGGTGTCTCATTAAAGAGAGGAAGCTACTTTCTTAGTAAGTCACTTACCCCTGTAAAATATATATATATATATATATATAGTTTAAAAAGCA